TAAGTTTAATTTGCATGTGAATGGATCTCATTTTCATATGAAACGATGGGCACCAGGANCGGGCTCAAGTGTACAGCTCATCGAGGTCGCGTGTTTTTTTGAAGTTGACCGCTGACCGAGTGAGCGATTGGATCGCGGGCTCATATCAGGTTAACTTGTTGAAAACAGGGCAGGATTGTTCGGAAACCAGAAACTGCAAGGGACCGCATACGATAAACGCTGCTAACGTAGGATCTACATGAGATCTGATTAGCCAAAAACATGTATGAAGACAAACAATATACTGCAAGGCTGATATTACGTGAAAAACGTTTCGAGACACCAACATGACAAGAACCGATAAAGTAGGATCGCAACAGTGGACAGCTGTTTCGCCCTTTTTGGGGCTCGTCAGCAGAGTGTAGCGAAGATATGTAACGCCAGCCCAACAGCCAACGCACATAAATTGCAAAATGACCCGTTCACTATATCAAGTTCCGTACTTTGAACTCACTTGCGCCCCGAAACACGCGTTGCTCGGAACACGCGTTGTTCGGAACACGCGTTGTCCGGAACACGCGTTGTTCGGAAGTCGGTTAACGCTAACCCAGGATTAAAAGTTAACCGAATTATAACTTTTTCTTCTATTGACAAATGTTTTTTTCTGCTTTTTTTGTGTATATGGTGATTAATAAGACTCAAAACAGAGGGCCAAACATATACAGGAAACCTCACCGCAAAAGTTACAAAACTCAAATCAAAATTCTACCTTTTCCTGTTAGCTTAATCGGGCTCTGAACAACCCGGCCCCGGAGCTCCGCTTTTAGGCTGGCCTAAATCTATATATTAAAATTTAACGTGGACTCGAACAATATTTCGGGCAGAAAAACTGAAAAAAAAAATAGCCTCACATGCACGTTGGATTACCCCTCCCCTCCCACCGGGTGCAAATGAAGGAAAAAATAACCGTGAAAAAGGGTCATTACGCCGCACCAGCAGGAGTCTTGGTGCTAACAGGGATCAAGATGAGAGCGTATAACGCATCCTGATAGTGAAAATGTTCATGATCGCTACAGATGTTCCCAGACAAGATTTATTTCCCTTGTCACGCACCCCGCAAGTTTCTCTGCGCCGCGTCAATTTCTCCTGCCCCCGCCCTTCTCCAGACCAGCTCAGCTGATCAAGTCACGTGATAGTTTCGAGTTCCCCTTCCAAGCTAAAAGATGGACGCTCAGGAGCTTTTCAAGCAGCTACAGAAAGAAGCAGAATGTCCTGTATGTTTAGAAACAGTGGACAATCCCAAAACTCTCCCGTGCCTGCATTCATTCTGCTTAAATTGCCTCAAGAAAATACCAGTCGAAGAAGAAATGATGGAATGTCCTGTTTGTCGGACTTCCGTGTTGATCCCAGAAACTCTGATCGACTTACCAACATCTTTTCATCTCAATCGATTGTTGGATATTCTTCCACTCAGAGGCAATGGTACAGAGGCTCAGAGATGCGGCATTTGCGAAGAAATGCACACAGCAACTTGCTACTGTTTTGTGTGCGTGAGATTCATGTGTACAGCTTGTTTTGATTCTCATCAACGCACAAATGGCACTCGTGGTCATCGCAATGTTTTGATTGAGAATTTGCAAGCACCGCAAGTCTTAGAGTCAATCCGTGCACCAACTTGTTGTTTACAGAAATGCCACGAGCTAAAAGAACCGTTAAAATATTATTGCCAGCAATGCAAAGTCTGCATTTGCCAGAAATGTTGCGAAGCGGATCATGACCGACACGCCATGATAGGTATTCATGAAGCTGCCAACAAAGATAAAGTGCAAATGAGGTCGGTGATAAATAAACTCAAACCACTTGTTGTGTTGTATGAAAGTAAAATGAACAAACAAGTTCAACTGATGGAAAGAAGTAGAGAGGAAAATGCTGCTGCCCGCAAGAAAGTTACTGAAACAGTGGAAGAAGTTATCCGAGGTTTACGTGAACATGAAACAACCATCCATGCCAAATTAGATGAAATTCATGATATACAACAAAGGGACCACTCAACACAGCTAGAAAACTTTCAGTTGCTTGTTACTCAGTTGAACAGCTTTGTTGAATTTGGCGAGGCCGTCATAGAAAGGAACCTGAGTGAAGAAATCCTTCACACTCAAAGTAGCTATGGAAAACAGGGTGAAGCATTCCTTAATCTGAAGAAAATGGAATTGTATGATCCACAACATGTTGATTATGCAGTGACAAGCCAGGGCTTAATTCAGGGCCATGTTATAGTTAAGCATGCTGATGCTTCAAAATCAGTGGCTGAAGGAAAGGGTCTTGTAAGAACAAGTGTGGATACTGAAACTAATTTTAAGGTCACTATTATTGATGAAGAAGGTAAGCAGTATTATCACAAAGATGACCAGATGACTGTGAATGTGGTAGACCCACAAGGAAGTCTCTTAAACAAGAACATTGAGGACTACAAAGATGGGAAATATATGGTGGCCTATACACCACAGAGTGTGGGTATGCATACTGTTTCAATTGACATCAATGGTAAGGCATTGGCAGGCAGTCCCTGGAAAGTGAAAGTGATGCCCCATCATCACCGTTTGTTGTTCAAGTTTGGAACATCTGGGAGGATGCGAGGGCAATTTGACTGGCCTGTTTCTATTGCTGTAAGCAAGCGAACTGGAAACATAGCTGTAGCAGATTCTGATAACAGGAGAATTCAGTTGTTCAATTCAAATGGGAGATACCTGAGAGACTTTGGACAGACTGGTGCTGAGAAACTGAATAAACCAAAGTCAGTGGCATTCACGAGCTTTGGGGATGTAACTGTTCTTGACTCCAATAAGATTTTTGTTTTCAGTGAAACTGGTAATCTCATAAGCAGCACAGTCAATGAGCACCTGATAAATCCTTCCAGTCTTTCTGTCGGCTCTGACAATCACTTAATCGTGTGTGACAAAGGCGACAAGAAAATCAAAGTCCTCTCCACTGATGGAACAGAATTGCTGAGGTCATTCAGTGCCCCAGACTGTGGCACCTCCCCTGAGTTTGCTATTTGTCACCAGAACAAGATCTTTGTTTCTTATTTTGAAGCTAATTGTGTCAAGGTGTTCAGTGTGGAAGGGCAGTTTGCATTTAACATTGGAAATATATCTAAGCTGATAGATAGAGATGGAGTGTTAAATGGCCCGCTTGGACTTTCTGTTGACAAAGATGGTAATTTAATTGTGTGCGACTTTCATAATAGGAGACTCCAACTGTTTACACCTGATGGATTGTTTATTAGTAAAATTGAACAACAGCTCAGGCAGAGTGTGGGACCATATTCAGTTGCTGTGCTGAATGATAATCGAGTGTTAATGATTGATATTTTAGGACACTCCATTCATGTTTTTCAGTAAGGTTATGTGCAGAAAGGGACTAAATGATATGGGGAAACTAGTATGTATATATCTGGTTGTCTGAAATGCAGTGGAAATCGAGAAAAATAGGTTTTTTATTATAATTCTTATAATATTATTCTTGTCAAGTTAACATGAAAGATATCTTAATGTAGCCTGAAAGGTGTTTTGGATTTCATTCTGATCTTATCTAGGATAGTTTTTTGCAATTTTATTTCTCCATTTACTCCTTGGATTTACTTTTGATGGAGAATGTATATCAATCACTTGAGACAGAGTCTCATCACGTTTCCAAACACCTTGAAATTTTTAGTCAAAAATACCGTACTGTACGTGATATGTTAAACTCCCTTCTCGGTGTGTGGTAATGTGGTGAGACACTACCTTGTGAAGAGGCCGAAGCTGAGGTGAACCAGTTCACTTACAGTGTTCTAGAATTTTATAAATTCTTGGTTATACAAATGGGCCATATTCGTATTCTTGATATTAGACTGGAACTAGCTTGTAATGGGACTTATGCAGGGGAATATACAAAGAGATTAATGTCCTTTGCATTTGAAACGATTTTCCCGCATTGGCCTCATTTGCAAGCTATTACTGCAGTTCCAATACCAAGAATAATCCAATACAAAGATGGTCTATTAAAACAATGCACATTTCTGTGTAGCTATATAATATTGATTAACTATTAAGAACTGGTAACATACTAGTGCTAAATAGTAGACATCTGCTGGGTGCAGTGTTTACTGTGGCTTAACAGTCCAATTTTCAATTTACAGTTCTGCCAGGAGAATATTGTACCTCTTGTGGATTGCAAGATTTGTGAAGAACTTTTGACTGAAAAGTTGCAAAGTTAGTAAAAAGGTACTCAATGCTATTTCACTTAGAGTGCTTTGATTACTATAGATAAAGAAAAGAACAAAATGCTTTTGTAAAGTTGTAACAAGGATGTATTAAAAGAGCTATATCTTCACCAGTTTTACTTGATAATGACTCTTTATTTGGCTTTGGACCAGTGCAGTGAAGATACCCTGGTGTAGCCCAGATAACAACCTTGTTCCTAGGGTTTTTGTGCTGATATACTAGGCAATAAGCAAACCTTGAAGACTAGCACAAGAGTTTTGTTGTTCCTACTCTTTATGAAAGGTTTGGATTTTATCGACATATGTTTTCATAGGATTTCACAAGAGATCACCTGAGAGACAAGACAGTGAGGAAGGGCTTCTAAAGTTACCAGGTTCTAGTTTATATTGAAGGTCAAATGCAATGAAACTGGACTTGCTTTGATTTTAAGTTAAAATAGAAGATTATAACCAAATATCCATAATCCAAACTTTTTTATGGTTTACCTAAGAAAGTCGCCAAGATATTCAACCTTGAAAATAGTCCAGGAAATAGCCTGAAATGTCAGTAATCTCACACCCTCAATCAGCCTAATCCCCGGGCGAGAGACATACAAGCCAGGCATATATCGTAAACCTTGATCCCAGGCTCTCTCTCCTTCCCCTCCCTTGTCACTGCGGTAAGTGTTAGGGCCAAACTGGAACTCACAGTTCAAAATAATTTTAAAAACACTTTGTCGATTTTTTGATCAGGGAAAGTGTTAAGCAGCCTGTAACTATTAGTTCAAATTGCTCATTAATTGTGTGTTAAAATTTCTGGTTTATTTGTTGGTTGGGAAAATTGGAAAAATGTCAATTGTTGAAGGGTACGTGTTGCAACGTTGACTAAGATGCTGCGAAAGGTTTACTCAAGACATGGGGTACTCCGAGAAAAATTGGGTGGGGTGTGCGGCCCGCTTCCCAAAACCCTTACCCTATTTATGACCAAAATCTGCGATTTTCAATACCTTATTTATGACCTGACCCTAAATCGATGCCCTGGTTGAAACCTGCCTTATTCTTAGTTCCCTAGTTCAGACTGATGTTAAAGGCACCGTGAAGAGCTCTTGTTGATGGGTCGCATTGATTATGATGAAAAAGTAGCTTCTTCTAAAAACCATGCCTAATTGAAGACCAGAGTGCAAAAACCAGACCCTATTAATGATCAAAATGGCTAAAATCGATACCTTATTTATGACCAAAACGGCTGAAAAACCATACCCTTTGAGGCCGCACATAAATAGTCCATATAAGGGAGTACCTCTCCCCCATGGCCCAGGGGTTATTGCCAAAAGCCCAATGGGTGCCTGTTTTGTTTATTCCTCCTCAAGACATTAGTGTTTTTTATGAAAAAGGGTAACTCCATATTACACGAAGGAAATAGTTCACAGGTTTTCTCAGAGGGCACTTTGGTTAAATAACCGTCCCGGTGTCTGATCACAGGCAGCCCAAGCTCTATCTATGAAACACAAGAGCAACACAATATGGCATCGAATTATAAGGGTTTATATGGGATTTTCTTCAAGATATCCATGGAGGTAGTTAAAAGTGAAAATTTTCAATAAAAATGGCTTACCTTATTCCATACGTGTGTTGTTTGCTCCTGGTGTGGTTATTTTACGGATTTAACTTGATTTAAGCGACTTTTTTGAATTCCAAGGGAAAACCGGAATTCAAAAGAGTTTGCTTAAATCAAGTCAAATCGGTAAAATAACCACACCAGGAGCAAACAACACACGTATGGAATAAGGTAAGCCATTTTTATTGAGAATTTTCACTTTTAACTACCTCCAGGGATATCTTGTAGAAAATCCCATATAAACCCTTATAATTCGATGCCATATTGCGTTGCTCGTGTGGTTTACAAAGAGAGCTTGGGCTGCCTGTGGTCTGATTCGTGGTACTGGAAACCACACCTCCGCTCACGCCCCCAGGTTCTGGTCACGTGGTCAACATTGCGCAGTTCTTTCGAGATACAAAGGCGAACAACATGGACGCAGCGGTAGCGGGGAAAAGAAAACACTTCGATACGGACGAAGATGCAAGCAATCGAAAGGTAATTTCCAGTTTAATTTCTCGTCAAACTCTAATCCTAAACAACTGAGTTGGTTCTGTGTACTTGTTTCACAGATAGAACACCAATTTGAAAGTTGTTTTGCGATCATGCTAATCAATCCGCCCACAGTAGAGGCTACAGTAGCAAGACTATTGTGTGGATTATTTCATATATAAGGCTTAAATAGTACTATTTTTACGCAGAAACATCAGGCAGAAACTGGAGAAAAGAAACATACATCAATAGTGTTTGCGTTAAAAGAGAAAGTGGGGTCCCTAGCCAGGGCTCTGAAACTTTTTGAGGTAAGACATTGTAAGCATAGTCTTAACAATGCCTACAATTCAGTTTTTATTACTTAGTTTTTAAACCTTGTTCTTTGTGTACTCAAGTCTTAGAGTTTATTACTGATTGTATAGTTTATCACGTTTCTTTGTAAAGCGCCATGAACGTAGAAATGGTGCTATATATGTAGTCAATAAAGTTATTTTTATTTATTATCAAGTTATAAATATACATGTACTTCTAGCCTACTTGCAGCCCTTATGCATGATGACACAAGACAAACGAATTTCACCACCTCCTTTGAATATGCAAATTTTAAATTTGATAATAATAAATTGATGACGACTTTATTTTCTGAGGGTAACACTTGACAAATTACACCAAGGTAATTGATAAACTCATGGCCCTCCTAGCTAGGCCAAGAGCTAATACTCATCCCAAAGCAGCAAAGATGAAAAAGCTACTGGAATGGAGGGGGGATGGGTGAAGGTGAGGTTGAGGGGGAGGGTGTGGATGGTCATTGAAGAGGCTCTGTTGTTTTCTATTTGAATTTTTTGGAACCCTTTGATATTGTAGTTTGGAGACGTTTAGATGCTTCCTACCATCAGAATCTTGTCTTGTATCCAAGAATGGCATTTTAGTAACTTAGATGCACATGTAAAGAGCAGGAATTTTGCAGATATCGTTATAAGGTGGTTAAAACTGTTTTTTCTGGTGTCAGTTCACCAGACTGATGGGAATTTATCAACTGACAAAAAGTTGCCAACTTGTGAAAATGTCTTGATGGATGAAAATTGTTGAAATGATTATGTCTGTGGAGTATATTTGAACAGATGACATGCTGACATGAACTGTCATAAAAATTTGTTGCTTTTTTTACCTTATGAACAGCTGCAATTCAGTCATAATGGATAAGGATCTTCAATTGCATGTATAATTTGTCCCATATTTGGAACAAAATTCTACGAATTAGACAAAGCAGTGAATGTGGTTGACTTATTTATACATTTTCCCGCTTTTCTGCATTATTTTTTTACCTGTTTATAATTGTGGGACCTAAAAACGGGCTATGCATTTTTTTAAAGGGATCACTATTTTTAAGGGAAATACATGTATGTCCAGTTAACTGTCATTTATATGATGCCAGTGCTTTCAGTAAGATTTGAAGTAGGTGTCTCCCTTTTTTTAGCATCTGCTGGAGCTGATAAAAGGGGCCAAAGGCCCCTTGTCCTCCAAGGGGGTATGGGGGCATGCCCCCCAGAAAATTTTTGAAATCGGGAACCGCGGAACACAATTTCCAGTGATTTGACGCAAAATATTAACACCCAAGCATCATTATTTTTAGGGTGTCTGGAAAACCTGAATAGTGAATAGCAAATAGTCACGAATAGTGAATAATGAATAGTCCCGAATAGTGCGAATAGTCTCAAATAGTGCGAATAGTGGCGAACAGTCGCATAAAGTGGGGAATAGTGACGAATAGTCGTCAATAGTCACTGCTTTAGGTCTAATATCCTGCGTTAATTAATTATCCAAATAATCAACAATTTCAGTGAATTTATTACCTTTTCTTCTCCAGACTCAGGCTAAGGCTGTCAATCACCGACATTAAGAAAACAGAAAACACAAGGATAACCTAATAAAGACGTATTTAAGCTTTTGCAGCGGTTAAAACAGAAGAAACTACATTTAGAAACATCTTTTGTTCTGATAAGTGTCTCTGCTTTTTAGCGGGAAAATCTCTTCCTATGTTGCTGCAAGGTTGACTGCGAGATACTGGGTACCCCATTTGCTATGATTTGCCACTTTTTGCCACTATTTGCCACTATCCGAGACTGTTCACCACTATTCGCACTATTCGAGACTATTCTCACTATTAGTACTATTCGCTATTCGCTATTTGGGACTATTCGCTCGCTATTCGTGACTATTCGCTATTTGGGTTTTTGCAGACACCCTTTTTTTTAATCAGAAAAAAGTATTTTTTGAGATTTAGTAGTTTGTAAAAGTATTGTTCAAGATGCAAACATCGATACTAAGTAGCGAGGCCTGAACACAAAAGCGAACTGTTTGGAAAATTAAGTTACATACTGAAGTCAAGACCCAGTTTCGCTCGCATCAAGAGACCAAGATGGCCGCCCATCAAACTCAACGATTGACATCTATGATCTCACGGAGAAATAGGGGACTGTGAACAGTCTAGTAAACGTTGAACATCTAAGAGCACGCAAGATGCTCCTTGGTTTTCTTATTTCTTTTCATCGTCATTTCATTTTTTCTATGATGCTGTTTCAGTGCTGTGTCACATTCATCCCAGACAAATAAGTCCTTCAGTTGAGTATTGAAGATAATATGCAATGGCTTTAATTTACAGTTTTGGTCTTGTTGTTTAACCCTATTCAACTCCTGAACCAGCTACAACTGGTATTGAGAGACCATTTTTCTTGATCTACTTGTGACATCATAACTTTTAATGCCAGCTGATGTTTTTGATAATCAACTAACGAGAGGGGGGTGAGTAGGTTTTCGGATTGACAGATTTGGCCTTAAAAAGCACACAGATTGTGGATTTTTGCGGTAAATCAAGCGGATTCACAGATTTTGAAAACACAGTGGATCGTGGATCAGCTGTAAATTTTGGCGCGGATTCCGGATTGTGCCTGTCTCGATGTTTGGATCTTGGGTCCTAAACAAAATAATGTGGATCATAGATCTTTCTTCAGCCTTGGTCGATATCTTAGTGAGTTCATCCAAATTATTTCTGTTTTGAACGAAGCTCATTTAAAATCAGGTGTGAGACTGTTATTGGAATTGTACTGTGTTATAGTCATCAAGCATGTTGCCGTCTTTACTATTTGGGTGATATTAACAATGGTATCCACATTTACCAATTTACCTTTAAGGTGGCTGAACACAGTTTTTGATACCTGTACTTCATTCACCTTTTTCTCTAAAACCTTTGATCTCTCGGTTGCCAAAAATGGCAGCAAGCAAGTTAACAACACAAACCTTGGTTTTTTGATGGTTGAGCTGACGTGCTGTTGCCATGGCAACATGAATAAAAATAAAATGGCCTTTAAAATTGTTTTTGTTTATTTGTAGAAAATCTAGTCATTAGATTTTCTTTATAATTTGCGTGCAACAAACTTGTAACGATTCTCACAAGTTAACACCATTTTGCTAATAATTTAACAGAGACATCTTTAATTATCCTTTGTTGAAGGTTTACTGGAATATCTAGAATTTCCTTTCTTAAAGTTCAATTATTTTCAATAATCCAGTTACTTTAAAGTATTTTCGTGCCAAATTTCATGAAATTCTAATGAGTGGTTCTCAAGAAATTGCAATTTTTTTACTTACTACGCATGCGCTGCATTTAACTGGGTTCTTTCGGTAACACAGAAAAAGCTGAGAATTGTTGGGTTCTTTGCATTGTTATCTTTTCTAACATATCTTTGTGATAAAAGACTTAAGCCATCAAAACACTGCGTTCAATTATAGAGAAAAATAGCACAGATAGTGCGGGTGTTGAGTAAATAAAATGATCACTCTATTGACGGCATGTTTTTTTGGAATCCTTGTGCACGCGCTGAATTGCATCAGCAAAAGCGCGCGCGAAAACTGTGTTCGGCCACCTTAATTTGAACTTGCACACTCCTGTTTCACTCTTCAGGATGTGGTTGTGGTTTCGGATTTGAACAAAAACATTGGTGGATCAACGGATTTGGCGGAAAAAAGGCACGGATCGGTGGATTTGCATACCCCTATTCGCCCCCCTCTAATAAAGTAGGATAGAGTCTTACATATGCTTCATTCCCAAACAAAACAAGTATGACAGATGAATTGAGATAGGCCAGAGATGCACATAATAAACATTAGGCAATGAGTCAATATCCTCTCTAAACCAAAGAGAACCTAAGACAACCGCAAGGAGAACAAAACCTCAAAAGAAAAGGAGAGAAAAAGAGGAATGAAAAAAGTCAATACTACAGAAATTCAAATTTAAGAATGCTCACGTCCAAAAGGTTCCCATGAATAGATTTTTTTAAAACTTATCATGAAATCAGGTTAAGACTTTTGCCAAAACTTTTGCTAAAAAGCCAAAAAAATGGTTGGTTACTATGCTCATGATACAGTAAGGCATGTTAAAGACCATGGGTTTTTAGAGGTTTTTGTTGTTTTAAGATGAAGTTAGCTTACAACTATCGGACATAAAAAAGCTACATTTAATGAAATTTAGACAGGTGAACTTACTGAATTCAACACAGCTAATTATATTAAGTAAACCTTTGGAGCTGATGCTGTTCGTCAAGGTTCAATAGGCCTAGATAAAGAAATTTTAACCTTGCCTGTCCACACTTGAAGAACACTTTGCTCACACGAGAGCAGAAAAAGCAAAATATTTGTAACTTCTCATGAATAGATTTCCTGTTCATTTTTCGTTAAAATGGATAAAATTGGGAAAGGAATTGATCTACAGAAAGAAAAATGGGGGTCACCAAGCATCCAAGAGAGTAAATTGTAGGTGAAGTTAGCGCACCTGGTGCCAAACCCAATACTTGTTTATATTAATTCTTCCTTAGCATGCACTTGATATTGTGACATGAAATTTGTGCGTAGAAAGGATGCATAGTAACAATGGGCGGGAACATCCATGTTAAATCCTTTTGTGCCCAACCAAAAGAAAAACCAAGCAATATCTCATTACCTGGTGTATTTTATGTCACTTTTCACAGGATCATAATGTTAACATGTCACACATTGAATCGCGTCCATCTAAACGCTCCAAGACAGAGTATGATTTCTTTGTGGATTGTGAAGAACTCCAAGGAGCCAAGCTTGAAAAGTTTTTGAACGCTTTGAAAGACCAAGCTTTGTCAATAACTCTGCATTCAGAAGATGGAGGAGGAGGTATGTATGGTACTTTAAACTAAATTCCCAAACCTTCCTGTTCATAAAACCATTGAGTCTAGATATGTAGCATATCTAGAAAAACTCGTAAAAGCTGAAAATGAAGTAGTCACAGAATGTAATTTTGTTGATTACTCCCTGAAATTCTGTGGGGACCTTAAGATTGACTCACAAGAATGAAGATGCATGTCTGACTTAATAACTTTTTTCCACCAATGTAAACCAATTTGATATGAAGGTGGTCCTTCTCGCCCAGGAGGGGGACTCTCATATGAAAAGGTTGAAAAGGTCAGAGGTGCTCATCGGAAAATTTGAATTAAACCCTTAAAGAAGACCAATCTGGGTATGGTAAAACTTTATTTGACCCCAAAAAAATTACCACTAAAACAGAATAGGCTCAGTTACCAGCCCTGTTCAGGAAATTGAGCCTGTGCTACGTGTAGTAGACTGAACTTGAGAGACTGGTGGAAATTGAGCCTATAAGAAACAGAAATGAGAGTGTTTTTTATTACAAATTCTTCAAGTGCACCCTAAAAGATACTTTCACAGCTTAAAACAGTCTGTGGCATTTCATAATAAACACCCTAAGGGAGACCAGAATCCTTGATTTACATGTACATTGTATACTCCTAAGCAAGATGATGAGCATCTCCAACCTTGTTGATAATATATGGAAGTTCCTTTGGGCCTTCTTGTTACTGATGACAAACTACTCCTGCCCAGCCTGCTATCTTGCAGTAAACTTTAGTATTTGGCTATCATGATATACATGTATAACTGTGTGGGGAACTTGTCTACCTGAGTCTACCATGCATGTCAATCTGTAGGAAACAAAGATCAGGTGTAGCTGACAGGAGTGGTTTGCGCTCTCACGAGAATATTTCTTAAACCCTGTGACAAAATGTTTTCAGCTTTTAATGAAATTTTTCTGATGTTGCTTCCCTTCAGGGGTGAATTAGTTTATCTTTTTGTTTATTTTGTTGAAACAAGATTTACATTTACTGCTATAAAATGTTTTTTTTTTTTCACCTGCACAATTTATTATGTTTTGCGCACCTATTGAGTCAATATTAAACAAGTTATCTTAGGGTGCTACCTAAATTTCTGAAGGGGATCAAAAATGACCATACAGGAGAAAATCATATCCTGAAATATAAGATGATTGTAATTAAACATTAGAAAAATAAAATATCAAATAAACAATTTATTTAAAGTTCAATTTGCCCCATCAAAAGTCCCTGATTTAAAATACAATAAAACTTCAAGCAATTTTGAGTTTGAGTGCTTCACAGGAAAACATGATGTAGTATTAATATTTATTAATAATTTAAGCTTAAATTTCATTGAAGGAAATGCCCTATATGACATTTGCACATCTCTGACCCTTTGGTCTGGCACTTAATAAATGGCTGAACATTATTATTTTATATCTTAAGGAGAATGGTTTGAGTTTGAGATAGCGGCCTGGTTCCACATGCAGTAACATGGTTTAACTTTAGCTTGATGTAAAATTTTTTATACAATGTAATTATTAACTAATAAATGAATGTATTTCCAAAGATTGAAATTTTTATTCTAAAATTATATTGTAACATTCACATGGTGTAATGCATTATCCTAATCCAGTTTGTATTGAGAATTTTTCGGACAGATTCATTCGCCAATTTGCCCCCTCCCCCACAGCAGGGGCAAATTACATCATTAGCGCATTCACACAGTCACGTATTTGCCGTATAGATTCAAAGATATGGTGTATGATTTCTGCGAATCGGCATGTAGTTTGACCCACTAGCCTTCGACAACGGAGTGGCAGATCTGCAGGAGGGGCCTGGAAAAAAGTTCTGTTCTAGAGAGAAAGTCTTGACAAAGATGCTTTACATGTATACATTCGTTGACTTATTGAATGTAAACTCACTAACAGAGAATACTTGAAAACAGAGAATACTTCAAACTGAAATCCTTACACCTATACTTTTAGTCCTACAATAGTATAGACATGTCATTTCACCAGGAGACGTATATATAACTGGACACAAGTATAGTTTTCAAAGCTTTTTTTGATCACAGCTCAGTGCAACAATGTAGACAGCTTTGTGGTGTAATAGAGATTCCCTACCGAGCGACGTTTAGCTGCTCTAGAATAGCAACCTTAAAAATGCTGTTTAACAGCAGGAAATGTGAGCTTATATGCTTATGAATAAAAATGGCTCTTATAGGAGCCACCAAACTTGTGAAGGCAATGATTGATGCATATTAATGGAAAATTATGTGGATTGTTGATGATCAAGACTATCAACCATTTGTTAACACAAAATTAATCTTACATAATAGTTGGAGAACATTTTAAAGCTAATTAAATAAACAGCATGTTGTAAGGAAGGCACAATGGCCTCATCAGGTTAGTGTGCTCATCTTCGGATCAAGCGGTCCCGGGGTCTAGCCCTTCCCATGGACATTGTGTTGTGCTGTCGGGCAAGACACTTTACTCTCATAGTGTCTCTCTCCACCCAGGTGTATAAATGGGTACTGGTGAATTTAATGCTGGGGGTAACCCTGCGATGGACTAGCATCCCATCCAGGGGGGTAGTAGAAATACTGTCTCCTAGTGGCTTCATACTACATAATCTGGGATAAGCTCCAGCCTGATGGGCCACTTGGCTTGTATGCAGACTTAACCTTACCTTTACCTAGATAAGGAAGAAGGAACTTACTGGTCAAAAGAGGAGTTTAATTTAGTGGTAAATTTAGTAGCTAACATAGAGGAAACTAACAACTAGAAAATTTTATTTTTATTTAATAATAACTCTAATTTTGAGATGAAGTCCTAAGGTCCATATACAAAAAATGGCAGAGTATGAAAGCCGCAGGCATCTGCAATACTAAACTAATGTGATCTAATGTAACATGCATTGCATTCACCAGCACCAGTGTTTGTAAACTGCACAGATGTACTGTAGTTTGTTTTCAGTAGGATTTCCTATGGTTTGAATTGTGGGTCAAAGTAAATGTAATATGTAACACGTGGATATATGAAATAAAAGTTTGGTGCAGTTCTGGTTAATTTACTAAATATATCTTTTGATTTTTCTTGTGTACAACGTACAACTAATTTGTTGTCATGGTTTGATTGCAACTCATGATCATCAGACCTGGCTGATGGTAAGTTGGTAAACTTTGATTTGTGATGTAGTCTAAGTCAATGTGTGACACAATTTACGATCAGACAGTACAGTTTCTATTTCTCACCAGATCCAATGAAAAAGGATTTAATTCACAGTACAGTCATATCTTTTTAAGTTACTAAATGTGGGTAACAGCTGAATACCTTCATCCAAGTAATTTGTTTAATATATATATAAATTATATTAAATGTGATAAATACAGGTATGAACTCAAAGCCTGTATTTATATAATTAATAAAGAGCTGGAAATTATCAATAGAGCCAAGCATTGGCTTTTCGGACTTGTACTATTTACTGCATGTCTTCATTATCCTGTTCATGAAGTTATTCTTTCCAGAGGTGCTCATGTGGTAAAAATTTAAAGCCCAGCTGTGAGCAACTTACAAGTTGCTCATGGCATGCTAATTAAGCTTATTTTGAGCATATGATATCTTCTAGAGATATGATAGTCCACAAATTAACACAAAAGGTGTAATTTTGAAATGAAAACAACTGCAATGTTTCTGTGTTTACATGCGCATCATTGGTCTTTGCGCCAGTAGGTGCACAACCCTGTGCCTAATCTGTGTGCAACAATCTTTGTATATTTGCTGCGTGTTAGTTTTTTATATTAACCTTTTAATAGTAAATAGATTGTCATGTATTTGGCTGGTATCATAGAGCACTTTCATTTAAGTTTCTGATTTTATTACCTGTAGATCTAGTAAGCTGTTGATCAAGGTCATAGGGTAGCAAGGTTTCAAAATAACTATTTTTGGAATTATAACAGTTTCATGATTAGATGTGAGAATTGTGAACACTTTTTTACCTGCAATTTTAGTGCATTTGTATCCCGATTTTGACACTCACCCAATTAGGCTTTTTTTGTTTTTTTTTCGGGCAAGCAGCTCACCGTCCCCAAAGTCCAAAGGTTTTGGTATGCCTATGTTTCCAGGAAAATGTCCGGGGGGGAGGGACTTCGATGTAAAAAGGGATGGGCATGCTTGTCCTACCTTTTAGGGATAATTTTAAAAAGTGGTTTTGCTACCTCTTAGGGTGTTCGGCCTCAAAAGGTCCACAGCAGGAGCTTTTGCGGTACCTTTTAGGGTATTGAGCCAAAAAAAATATGACAGGAGATAATGTGTTGTTTTAGAATTGGTACCTCTTAGGGGTGAAACAAATTTCAAGCCACGCCCACAAAACAGGGTCTTTGGGGTCTTAGGGGTTCTTTTCAAAATTTCCAATGAGCACCCCTGTCCTTTTAATATGGGAGTCCTCCCACGGGAAAATGATACCCTGTTTCAGACCTGTGAACCTAGTTCCAGACTAAAATGTTGGAAAAGCATATCCTACCAAGCAGCACATCCCACAAGTAATAGCCCATATAAGGACGTACCTCCCCAGGAATTTTTATTCGCATTGCCAGCAGGCAGAATACTGTACATGTATATTAAATATATAAGCAGGATTTATCTGTGGAAGCCTTCTTACTACAGACTAGTCAGCACTTTATAATAATGTTAAGAAAATCAGATTTTTTTTCTCATTGAGTCTTAATTAAGAAGATCACTCCTTTTCTTTATTTTCAGAATGGTATGTAATAATGTGATGGGTCAAAATATCAAATACATGACATGTACTAGTTAATTATTTTAATTATTAACTAGTACATATGTCATGTATTAATTATTTTATTAAAATGTGTTGTTCAAATTTCTCAGTTTCCAGGAAAATGGGGGCTATCACCTTCTCTGTATTGTGAGCTATTACCTTCCCTATATTGTGAGAATTCAAAAAACAAGCTACAAACTCAAGGGATTTTATTTCTAACTGCCTTGAAACTTTGTTACTAGCTTAATTTATCAGATCTCTACTTACTCTAATCTTAAGTCAAACATGGCAATTTTTACTCAGTTTTAATACTACTTTCACGTGAGGCTGTGACCTTCCAGCTATGGTTAATTTCACACGACCTTCAGTTGTCAATAATAATTATTATTGTACCACTGAGGAAAAAATTATCATGTTATTTTTTTTCAAGATCTCTCAAGATATTTTAAAAGAAGATCTTTGATCATGATGTTTAAAATTGCTTGTAATAGAAGCACTGATGGCTAATGGTTCATGTAATAAAACTGCTTCATTTAGCTACCGAAGGATGCCAAGTTTTTGTATTTTTGTTGTTCCCTTTTAGTGCCATGGTTTCCACGTAAGATTGCTGACCTGGACAAATTTGCCAACAGAGTGTTGAGCTATGGAGCAGAGCTAGATTCTGACCATCCGGTAAAGACATTGTCCTCTAGTTTTTGCCAATAATTAAGTAATAAATGTATATATTGTAGATTGCTTTGTATGTTCCAGCATTAAGTAAAGTCATGTTGTGAATTTAAGCCTGAAATAAATTCAGGCTTAAAAGAGATTCGAACCCATGACCTCTGCGACACCGGTGCAGTGCTCTACCAAATGAGCTATCAAGCCAACTAGTAGCTGGTCACATTGTGGGTTTGTAATATACCATAGTACTTTTTTGTGATTAATTTTAATGATGAAAATGTTGTGGTTTGTTCCTTTTTTAAGGGCTTCACAGATCAAGTCTACCGAGCTCGCAGAAAGGAGTTTGCCGATATTGCAATCAAATATAGACAGTATGTATATCCTGTTAGTTCATGAATTCAAACAAAATGACCTTATGGTAAAGCATTAATTATTTCTAATAAATTATTATTTGCAGTGGTGAGCCTATCCCTCGTGTGGAGTATACAAAAGATGAGATTAAAACGTGGTAAGGGAATGTATTTCCATCACTGATTATAATAAGTCAAATTATTCTCACATTTTAATTGGTGCTAACTTATGAACTATTGGAGGACAGAAGCATCGATGACGTCATTAACATTCTTTTTTTGTTCCTTTACGATATAGAACAAGTACATTCCATGTTGCAGTATGTCTGTTTTGTGATAGATCATAGGAGATTTCAAAATGTGATAAGAACATCGGTGACACACTCCGCTATTGCCTCGTGTGCCACTTTTTTATTCTTACCACATTTGACGTCATCTGTGATCTATTACTGAACAGAAGCACGGCAACATGGAGTATATTTGTTAAATAGAACCCCAGAGTCAGCATGAGCTGTAAATATGTTGTATATAATTACGAGATAACTTATTGGTCGACTTACGTCTTTCTCTAAACAAGACCACTGAACAGGAGGGGAGGGGACAATTAAAATCATAGATCTGTTTAACTTGAAAATTATAGACTGTAGTTTATTATAGAGAACATTTTCAGTTCCATCATATTATCCGACAGTATTGTAATTCAATTGAGACACGCTGTTTCCCTGTAGGAATATGGTGTTTACTGAGTTAAGCAAGCTCTATCCTTCTCACGCTTGTCGTGAACACAATTACGTGTGGCCGCTGTTGGTGCAAAACTGCGGCTACAGGTAGGTTTGTTCTTATGCAATGGTTATTAAGTGGTGGCCTAGTAGTTTAATAGTACTCAGAGGGCGTGCTTAAAACAAGAAATGGCAAAATGACGAAATGGCACTGTGGTTAGCCTAAATAGAGCTCAGGTTAGCCTAAATATCACTGACGCGATCACATGGTGCGCGTTATGGCCACAGTTTTTCTATTTTTTCTCCCTACACCTTTGATTCTGCTGGTTGCTACACATGGATTGCGAGTCTTTATTTTTTTAAAACAGAGTGAATCGTAAAGACGTATTCATGGACATAAAATTACAAAATTTTTAAGCAAGTTTAACCGCGGACGACAATCCTGCTGAACGTTGGATCAATAGTGATCTAATCGGCTTAAAATAAGAAGTGAAGAATTAATAAATTAAGTCAAAGTAAGGCAGCGAACGATGCAATGAAGGAAGAATTTAAAATTTGGTGTACTATATTTCGGCTGGACAAGCCAGCTAACTGTAAAACTTTAGACGCACATTTGCTTGCTTATCAATTGTGAAATGTACTTAGGATTCCGAATCAGTTCTTCTTCGTACTCACAGGCTGGGTAACATTCCACAGCAGGATGAAGTATCAAAGTTTTTAAAAGGTATTAGTTATTATTTTGCGAATATCCTTGAACAAAGTGACAACAAAGTACCGGTATCTGTAACAAATTACCACTTTTTTTTTTTAAACCCAAGACTAAAGGGAACTGGAACAACTTACCATTGAACATAACTGGAGTCCGATTTGGCCTTCCTTACTTTTAAAACCAATCTACAAATGTTTACTGCAAACTGGTAAATTTGTTTCTTATTACGTGGTAAGGAGCGCTGGCTACATGTAAGAATCTTGTTCAGTAAGGAGGCACGTAACAGGAACTGAATAAAATGAAACAAAGCAAATTACAGCCGATCATCTAACCAACTCACCGATCAGTTGATCGACAAACTGGAAGCTTTGAGTCATAGATAATAATTTTAAGCTGCAACATCAGCCATCCATCACCCACCAGATTACAAAAGAACCCTAGATGTAACAAGGTTACTTGCTTTTATTTTACTGAGTATGTTATTCTTCCTTAGAGTGTTCAGGGTTCAGTCTTCGTCCAGTAGCTGGGCTACTGTCATCACGTGATTTTCTTGCTGGCCTCGCCTTCCGTGTGTTTCATGCAACTCAGTACATCCGTCATGGTTCAACACCCATGTACACACCTGAACCGTAAGTAATATGGTTACACGAAAATAAAAAAAATCAGCATTTTGTATTATTATGTCAATACACAGTATAACAGATGGGTGAGGAGGAAAAAGATAATATTATCAGTCTATGTCTTGATGTCGACATCCTTGCAAATGGTTTTAGTACTTGTAATTTCGCCTTGAAACTTCGCTGTTTTGCCTTAATTCCGCTTTCCCTGGATTATATCATTGATATCAAGAAGAAGATCAAGCTAAGCTTACCTTGATCTCCACTTGGTGATATTTACTGTTCGTTTTTGTCGTTTTTTTAGGGACATTGTACACGAACTCATAGGCCACGTACCGCTTTTCGCTGATCCTGATTTTGCTCAGTTTAGTCAGGTAAAAGAGATTTTCTCAAGGGGCATTCAAATCAAATGAGAGATGAATGAAGGTGTTTCAGTGAGGGGAAGTTACCCTTCGTCCTTTGCATTCATACATTCGTTTATTTCCCAACAGGAGATTGGTTTGGCATCTTTAGGAGCCCCAGATGAGTGGGTTGACAAATTAGCAACGGTAAGGCTCGTTATACACTTGTAGTCACGTGAGATCTCACTCTTGACCATGGAGATCTGAGTTCGAGACGACGTGTTTAAAGACCAAGTCAAAGGGAATTACCCATTATTACCTGTGTTCGCGGTTGGTAAGCAACGTGCATGGCGTAGGTTAACATTGCCGGAATGACATGACAACCTTTGCAGTACGCGGGATTTTCCTAAACAACTTCTCGAACATATTTTACGATTTCTCTGTGATCATGTTCTTACAATGCTTGCAGATAATATTTGATTTCATAGTAATTCGTTGAAAGACTTAGGTTTAAAAGTAGTGTGAATAAGTTATTATACAAAGAATAAAAACAATATTGTTAGATTCTGGAGAAATGTTGCACTCCAAACGGGATAAACATTTCATTTTCATCTCCCTACTTTTCTTTATTTTCAAATCCTGTCCTCTACTGTTTTAGCTGGCCTTACAACTTATCCTGTTCTCTTTAGCTGTACTGGTTCACTATCGAGTTTGGATTGTGTAGACAAGAAGGAAAAGTCAAGGCTTATGGAGCTGGGCTGTTGTCTTCTTTTGGTGAACTGCAAGTGAGTTAAGGTTGTTTTTTTTATTAAAATCAAACTTGGTCATTAAGAGTCATTGTTTTGTCAAAGCTAAGGTCCTTTATCTACACTCCCGATTTTCTTATGGGTAATCTACTTTGGCGAGAGGGTATTATAGATCAGTATTATAGTTGAGTTTTGATACAACTGGACGAAAGGAGGGGAAAATAATTAAAAGGAAGGGGAAATGTTGAACTGAGGGTACAGTCATGAAAATTGATGAAAATGTGAGTAAGATGGTATTTCGTTTTATTGTAGTACTGTTTGACTGATGAACCAGACAAGAGGCCGTTTGAGCCAGAGAAGATTGTAGTTCAAAGCTACCCTATAACCAAGTATCAACCAGTGTACTTTGTGGCTGACAGTTTTCAAACTGCAAAGGAAAAAGTCAGGTAACTTTATGATTACAAGCTTTGAGTTTTTGATGGCCTTGTTCCCTGCCTTGCGACCTTTTCGCTCCAGATTTCTACCCATGTCGCTGGAACTACCGTCACCCTAGAAGTCCTTCGTGTCACTTACGGATCAGATCAAATACTTAGTTTTATTTGTAATGGTTACGTTTTTGTTTTCTTTCAGGGAATTTGCTGCCAAAATCCCCAGACCTTTCTCGGTTCGTTACAACCCGTACACACAGTCTGTGGAAGTCCTGGATTCTAAGGACCAGATAATGAAATTGGCCAATGACATCAGAGGTGACGTGTCCACCCTGCACGACGCACTCAGCAAATACGAGTAGACTGCGAAACAACTGATGAACGAATCTGGAAAACAAACGAATGTTTCAAACGTTTTAGAAATACACCTACTTTATCGGTAAAAAGATATTTTTCGACTCGGAAGACTGTAGAGTACTGTGCGCAGAAACAACGCAATTCAGTGGCTTTTTCTACATGTAGATATTGTGCCTTGAATTCCTTTAAGGAAAAAATATAGTATTTTCTTAAAAATATACAGTTACCTCGCACTGAAACTCACGTACCGGATCCTGCTCCAACTATCCTCTTTAGAGAGGTGTTGTTATCCTTGTGTGGGATTATATAAACGACTATAGTATAGTTTTACTCAACCTATTGGCTGTACTGAAAGGTGTCTTTTAATTTAGTCAAAATAGAATAGAACAAATTTCACATAGTTGCCTATTTTTGGAATACGAAAAACTCCCATAGGTTGACAGTAGCGTTAAAACGAGGTATTTAAATAGAATCAAGTATTTAATGATGTAAGCTGTTGTAAGCAAAACCTGAGAATATTTAATAAACAAGTCTGCACGTGTCTATAACTTTGAAGTTTTTGATATGACTTAAGCTTTGGAGTGTGGAGGCGCAGTGGCCTCATGGTTAGTGCGCTCGTTTCCGGATCGAGTGATCCGGGTTCGAGCCCTGGCCGGGGATATTGTGTTGTGTCCTTGGGCAAGACACTTTACTCTCACAGTGCCTCTCTCCACCCAGTTGTATAAATGGGTACCGGCGAATTTAATGCTGGGGGTAACCCTGCGGTGGACTGGCATCCATTTTCAAATCGGGTCACTTTGTTCATTTATCGAACCTGACATGAATGGCTTGATTCGTTCTTGGTTTGTGCAAGCAAAGGAATATGCCTGTAGTTTCGTGGAGACTTAACACTATGCTGTATGGCTGGCCTAAATATTTAGCGCGGTAGTCTATATTTTTCTACTGACATTTCTTGTCGTTGTATGGTAACAACATTTTTGATGATAAACGTGTTTTTGTTCAATGCTTTCTTGATTGCGTAGGCGTTGAAACAGTTGAAAAATCGCTTTGATCATAACAGTTACAATCTCCACAAACGTGATTAGTGCATAAACTGCCGTATTTTGCTCTAATTAATCTGCAAAGTATCGGACAGTTGGCTGTGATTGGACGGTTACATGAGCCAATCATTTTAAGTCCTCTCCACTAAATCCACCAATCACGACATTGATTACAATCACTATAGTAACCAATTCAAGAGACTGACTTTGTAAAATTGTGGAGGTTTAGTATCCGGTAACTGTTTTCAAAGAAACTTAACAGCAATTTTGCAAGCTAATTCTCCATATTTTTAATTGTGACATTTAAAAATGACTATTAAAACTTCTTTTTCAAATGAAACTTTTAGTTTTGTGGGAAATTGTAATGGTAACGATTAATTGTGAACAGGATATCATGTCGTCCAATTCAGTCTGGAATCATACTCGTGATTAACAAATCGGACTCCCGCTTCGCGGTCGTCCGATTTTGCTAATCACTCGTATGCTTACAGACCGAATTGAACTTCACTTAGTGCTATTTACCATCATTAATCGTCAGCGCAAGGATGGATGACGCTGACATCGCATTGAAAAATATGTTTTGCGTCGTTAGTGGTCAATGAGGGTGAGCTTGCCGGAACCAAAAAGTAGGTCCGCAGCGCGTGTTTGTCTTCTGTGTTACCAGTCGAACTGAATACAAATAGAAGTAATAATGACTACAGTCTTTAAGAACTAATAAATATTGAAGCCTATTCAGAAATTCGTCAGTTGTGCAAACGTAGAAAAGGCTGTTGCTCTTGTACGTGTAGCAACTTCAAAATGAGAAAGGTTACAACCTCCCCCCACCCCCCCCTCCATCCCAAATTATCGGAGGCTTAAACGCCTTCGAAGCCATGCCCAATACATGAGACAGGAACCAAGACAGTTATGGTAAAATCTTTCAGTAATTACCTGTTTCGAGTCTATTATAGTTGCGCGCTGCGAGTGGTCATTTTGCATCAGATCATGCCCTGTGGGTAAATGAGTTTTTCACTACAAAAATCATATTACTTTCTTTCCCTGTTACGGAAATACTCCTAAAAAAACGCCATGCTTTCACAGATTTTCTCGAATTTTTATATATTCTTGTTATCATATTCTTTATGGTTGCTTAAATTATTTGTGTTGTCACATCTGCGTCGACTTGGTAACAGAGCCGGACAGAGAGAATCTAATGGTTTACCAGTTTTAGAAAAAAACAATACCATCCCTCCCTCCAAAAAAAATACCCAAGCATTATTCCAAGAAACAAATTAAAACTTATACTTTTAAATACCTATAGCTCTGGAAAGCCCCGTGGGGACGAGCCAATAAAGTATGCATGTATGTATAACTGATATATACTTCATGCACAGTTGAACCCCAAATATTTTGGACTGTCCCACCATTGGATGTAACCCAAATAAGTATGCCTGCCGTGGATTTTTTAGGCTCTGTTTAGATAATCAATGGCGTATTAGCAAAGTTTATAATAGTGCTGGCAATTTGGAGTCATTGTAATCAAGTTCTCACAGCATGTGGTCTGAATATCTTGCGTGTAGTCGTGTCAATCTGTACAGTTTTAATTATCTGAGAGCTGTTATTTAAGTAATTATCCAGAGCGAGTCAGCTGTGAAATCAGTAGGAGATAGGAGTCTTTGGAATTGCTGCAACAACTGTGTTTCCAGTTACCAGGCCGACAAAAGCAATTAGAAGTTAATTTGAAACTCTGGCTTTTCAGAATTCAAGAAAGTTTTCTTTTGCGTCCCATGCAGTCCAACAGCTCATGTCTACGCCGTGTTACCAGAGGCAAGCTAGAAGCAAGCTAGATGTCGTCAGGTCTGTAATAAGAACAAAGTTTTTTTGTCCTAAAGCTCTGAAAATGATCGGCTCATGATTCTGGACAACCCGTTTCTTCGATGCAAATACGACTTTGCTTTATTTTTTTCTCACGGATTTGGAGAAATTGTGCGATGGGATATTTTGCAAATTATGAAATAATAGCCTATGGATACATCCAGATTCCAGAACGATCTTCACCCTTGTTTAATTTGAGTATCACTGAGCGGACAATCAGACGACAGGTGTCCTGTATCAACCAGGGGCGAGTGAAATAGATAACAAAAGAAAGAAAATAAAAGCAAACATTTTCATTTTAAAGCTTAATGACCAAAAACTTGAGCAATGAAAAAGTCTCTGCAAAAAATTCGTTGTATTATTGGTTTACCAATGACGAATGCGGACGGTGAAGTAGTTCCGTCGTGCCGGGATTAGACTCCTCCCTTGTCAAAACGCCCCCACAAAGCCCACAGTACCTTGCAAGCGGCGACACATCTTACTTTGAACTTTGTCAACATTCATAGCCCAAGTTTGCCTTTTATTTACTTAGGGCTTTTCCGCAAATTTCGGTTTAGAATGGCGAAATAGTTACACATTCGCCATGCTGACCTTTAGTCGTCTCTAGTACCGGCTGATGTAAAATGGCCGCCGCTAGTGACCGCGGTGAGCACAATGCGAAGAGCTCGCGGCAAAGAGAAGATGACGGGAAAGTCGAGGAAAATCGACTGCATCGCCGCGCGGCAAAATCTAGATCTTACAGGTACCTTTTAACACTTTTATATCGTTTACCATAGTTATAAGTGATCGAGAAAGCATGAATCTATAACTCAGATGCAACAGGAAATCATTTGTTCTGATTGTTTGGTGTTGGCTATTTTGCCATGAAATCATGCTGTGCTTACCCATCGTAGCGTTTTGGTTACACGTAGCGCTGGCCAGTTTCGTTTGATATTTTCAACTCGATTTTCAGGCTTCGTATTAAAATTAACGACTTGCTAACGGTGGATAAATATTTAATTTCGCTTCTTTAAATTATAGGGTGTGAGTGCGAGCTTGTTTTTGCTAAATTCGTGAAACTTTCCAAGCTTTCATTTGTTTTGAATTGAAAATGAGGAATTTGAAGTCTTGAACGTCGTTGACCTCAACTTTGAGTCAGATCCGCTTCTGCAATTGAATTTGATTTGTTTCTTTTCCGATATTTGACTATAGATTTTCTCTCTATTTTAGCAGTGCAAGCCGTTGATTTAGAAATATTTTTCATTAGAAGAAAGCTGTTAGAACGAGAAATTGATAGCAACGATTGATCGACTCGGAATAAACCCATTCGCTCTCGAATGATTTTCTTGCAGTTTATTTTCCCTAATGCCTCCATTTACAATTTCCTAGTTGCCTGCAATACTTCGTCTTCCTTGTTATTGGTTAGAACATTAACGTTACCAAAAGTGTGCTCGAAATTTTTATCACAGACATCAACAAAGCTATTACTTTAAGCTCACAGCTTATGCTGTCAAAGTTATTGTACACTGCTTTAAACTTTAAGCTTGAAATTCTATGAAGGTGTAAGGTGAAAGACAGGGTAAACTTTTAATGTTTAACTTTTGTTTAACAAACAAAGCGAGCAATGTGATCGGCGTTCGTGTTTTCAACGCGTAATTTGTACTGGGAAATGAATGAGTCGGTAATTAAAGTGAACTTTTCTATGTTTAATAGTTTTTCTAATTCATGAACTTCTTGGCATGGTCTACCTTTAGATAAGCTTATTTATGAGCCCTTCGTGAAGGTTAACTGTAAACAATCAATGATAATTTTTTGCAGCACATATTTTGCTCAAACACGCAACGTAAATCGTTTATACATGAAATTCATCCCTGAATATATAATGAGCTTTCATGGCTGAATATATGATCAGAAATTAACATTTTGAGATAATTTACCTTTGTACAGCCACAGTGTATACCAAGTGCAAAATATCATAACAGGGCTTATATTACAAAAACCAAGCATTGACATACATATTACAGCAATTTTGGGGGCATTTTGTGATGAACAGGACTCAGTGTGTTGATGTAAATACGCCCTTTATGCCGGGCACAATAAAGAACCTGTTTTTCACAGATTAAACATTTATAACTATTTTTAAAGTTAAGAACTTTTTCCAAAGTGATTGCATATTGATAGCTTTTTTTCTTAGATCTGCTGAATTCTGCATCTGCAAGTGGTTATATAGTAAAAATAAAGCACTTCGTGTAGTTTTAGAATAAATATCCAGTCTGGCCAAAAAACGATTTTTATTCAATATTCATTGCATCGTTTGCATTTTGTTGTGCTAAATCACACTTCATTATTATTATCATTATTATTATTATTATTATTATTATTATTATTATTATTATTCTTTTTTTTTTTTTTTTTTTTTTTTTTTTTTTTNCAGCTGAAATAAAGAAAAGTTCATTTGGGAAATGTATGAAGCATGTTTTAGCATTATTTTAACTCTGGTCTCAATCTGAGTTTTACCTGTAATAAAATGCCTCCAGCATATTATTTGTGGTCATGCAAAGAACTATGTACACCGTGTGGTTAACTGTACCCAAATTCACAAAAGTAACCAAATTAAAGCCCTGTGTACTGTCCTAATTTCCTGTGCTATCAAATTGCTGACCTGATATCTCCACACTTTCGGTCAAATGTAGGTACAGTAAATACATAGAATTGAACCTTTTTGATATGCTTCCGCAAGACATCAAACTTGTTTGGTCTCTCCATGTATTTTGGCCCTACTTTGTCTTATAATAATATTACCCCTCCAGCACCATATCGAACCAAAAACAGCCATGGGTTAAATCTAATAGTGATTTTCTCTTGACTACAGAGAAGCAATGTCCAAACCAAGGGAAAGTGCCGGACCTGAAGAAATACAGAATGACACAGAGTCGCTGTCTGAACCAAGCTGTAGTGTTGCACATCTCAGTGCCTTGGAGCATTGCAGTGATGTTTGTGAATGGACTGTAAGTGACTTGAGTTGGTTTATTTTGGGGAAAAAAACAGTCTTATTGAGATTGTTATGTAACATATTGGTATACATGAAAGAGGAAGAGTTGACATCATGTGTTTTATGTTGCAGGAAAGCGCTATGAATGGACGACACTTATGGATGGACACAGACACATCTGGAAACTCTTGTTACCTGACTGAGTGTGAATCTCTGGTAGGAATTGATAATTATTATTGCTTACAAGTAGTAAACATCTTTTGAAATCAGACAGGGAAGCAATGAGTAAATTTGTATCTTGTATGTGGTTTTCTGAAGGCTTTTATTTTAAATACAAAACACCAATGAATGTAACACCACTGACCATCATGTCAGAGCTGACTTTTTGATATCACAGGATGTGACTTTTTGATATCACTGAATGTTACGATGGGGGGAGGGGGTGACTCTTTACACCAGAGAGAAAGATCTGCAACTGTGAAATGAGTGCAAGTACTTTGAGCATATGATAGGGAATGCATGGGCCAAGAAAGGCTGTTGTGCCTATTATTCATGGGTTTTCCTTTTAGGTTTTCAGAGGGCAACTGGTTTTTACAGGCAAGTAAAAATTTTTGAACTGAGGTTGTTTATATTGAAAAATGTTCCTCTACATGATCAAACCTGGCAGGCAATTTGCCTGGTGCCCAGCTCTAATGAAACCCCTGTTTCAAGTTGAAATTGATGTAGAAATCTTTTTGCCACCAACGCTAACCTGAAGTACTGTGAACATTAGTGCAGCATGAACAACTAACTGGGTCCAGCCAGAAAGACCACTTTTAATAAGCTTGTTACAGTCACCACCTGTCCAGTAAGTTTATTTTCTTCATCATTGTGATATTTTTCTGTTGTAGAAATCAGGACCTAGAAAGAAGTGTTCAGGTAATTTCTATGTTTACTAACAGTTTACTCCTGACAACTTGAACCTTCAATGGAAATCAAGAAAGGTTTCAAGAGTTATCAGGAGATGGGAGCAATACTTAGTGACCATTACTGGAGAATAACGCAGTAGGTGTTTCAATCTGGTTTATTACAGAGTGGAGTAAAACTGGAATGTTTCGTACTTTGGCAACATAACAAATGATAACAGATCTGTTCAAGGGAATTAAACAAAACAAAGCGAAACAGCAAATTACTATGATGATAGTGGACCACTGCAGTACATAGTTACAACATGTTACCGTTTTTTTTTTCCAGAAATAGTTTGTTAAATAAATTGTCTCAGTCTAATGTTTTATATTAACCAATCTGTCCAACTGAGGCTCAAGTTATCAAGGGTACGTGTATATATAATAAAAATAAGTGGAAGGGATAAAAAATAACTTCAGGTAAGCAAAAGAGTTGAGCTCCCAACTGTTGGGTAACTTTACTAACAGTAAAAGTGTTCAAGCAAATCCAGGGGAAATTAATTTTGGTTTGAGTTTGCACTAAAGGCCTTAGTTATCAGGAGTCAACTGTAGTTCTGTAACGTTTAGACGGAAATATTTACTAAGTATGAAACAAAATGATACATGTAGTTGTTAATTTTAATGTGAATTTTTCTTTGATCCATTCCACAGCCTGTAAAATTATTGTTCATGAAAAATGTGTAGAACACCTGTATAGGGTGAGTTGAAAAGCATATTTAAACTTTCTAAATTTATGACAGCAGAATGATCTTGTTGTACAGTTTCAGATTTTTTTGTCGATAATACTTTTAATGCTCTGTTACGAAAAAATTGTCTAAGTCTAGTTCCAGAATAATCTAGAACCGGAAGGTCATTCAGCCGTGACCAATTTGTATAAGAACGTTCCAGAACATTCTAATCCTTATGTAATTACTCAGATTAGAAACTGTGTCAAACTACTAAATTTAGCTCCTAATAGAAGTTTCTAGAACTCCAAGCCTCGTGTATATTAGAGTGAGAGTTTCTTCTGTAAGAGAGATTGATTCAAATTTGAAGAAGCTTAGTGCTGTAAATTCATGAAGTTATCTTACGGAAATAAATTAGTTTGTTGCTGTTACCGGTGATCCTGAGTTCTGTCTGGAAGCAACCCTGCTCTTCAACGATCTCGTAACATGCTCTATTGTTTCGAGATATTGTTTCCAGATATTGCGTCACTTGATATTATTGTTAAGGTCCTTAGTATTGGATAATTTGAACATCCCTACTGCGCACGATTTTCGTGTCATTAGCACGCACACACGAGCGTGTGCACATACAAAACATAAGAGATTTCCCTCAAACTAAGGTCAATAGCGAAATAAATGCTCAAGCATGGTGACACCCACTTTTTATTTCGTAATTTCAATGAGAACAGTATCCTCAATAACTGAGAAAAGAATTTATTTAGCAGAAATCTATGGCTACTTTTTTGGCAAATGAAATAAATACTACAGAGGGAGACATAATGGGCCCAACAGTGCATGCCCAAATTATGTTTCCCTTAAAGGATATAAAATGCAGGGTATTTGAAGACCTTTTTTCTGGGACATAGATGAATAAACAATGAAAGATAGTCAAACTCTGTGTGATATAACACACTGCATTGAAAAATGATCAAGCTTATTCGTTGTGCACAGAGATTACCAAAAGTCACATAAATAACTGTCTTTGTCAGTATTGTGGCGTGAAAACAAGCACGGTGACCCCCCTCTTTTACTACATTTTTGAGTTATTTTTTTTGTAAGAAAAATACCTCTTAGTTGGCGTGTCAGGTATGTTATGGACGGGTCAATGGATGAGTGAGTGAGTGAGTGAGAGATGTATGTATGTTACACCAATCAGATTGGATCTACTATAAACAGCCAATCAAATTTCTTGTTGTAAAGGTAAATGGTATGTGAGAAGATTTGACCCCGACACAGTTTAGAACGGCCATATTTCTTCTATAAAAGAAGAGGAATTATTCATATATTGGGCTTACTTC